ACGAAGATAATTGTAATTCTTTTAGATTTCGAAAAGGAATTTTAATATCGTATAAATATATTTGTAAAACACGTATCGCGATATTGCAAAATATCCTTTTGGAAACACATTTGAAAAAGCATTTTCATTTTCGAGATTATCGCGACAGTTAAAAATTGGTAAAATTGTTGCAAGATGCTTCTGGAACGTCATAAGAATGTTATGTCTCTCATCCGTTTATAAAGTTAGCAATGTTGGAAAGTGTTCCTTTTCTCTAAAAGCATCTGGAATTCAATAATAACAATTTATTACATACACATAAATGTATCTTGCAACTATTTTCGTAATTTTCGTGAAATGATATGCAGGATGTTTGTTTTAATACAACAACTCGTATACAGTTTCTCTCTCTCTCTCTCTCTCTCTCTCTTTCTCTGGGGTAAACCTCTTTGTTATACTATTATCGTAACTCATTTGCTTCGATCAAACATATCATCATCATTCGGCCAATTTGAATAAATCGAATGTTCACGGAATATTCGTCGATGTTTGAGATAGTAGAAAAAGAATTTTGCAATTAAAAAAAATAAAAGCGATACTTATTGATATTTTATAAGGAGAGAGAGAAATTGAAAAATTCATCCGTAAGATGAAAAATATATTAAATATGTTATTAAGTTTTAAACTATTCTATTCTCGTTTTTATTTTTCATCGATGTTGCATAATATTTTCTTTGTCGCAATACAAATTAATATCGTTACAAAAATTTATGATACATATCAATCAAGTCCTTAAATCAAATTTTCTAAACTTTCGAGATTAAAAAACACAAATGGGGGAAGAAGGGGTGAAAAGAGAGCAGAACAATTTCATCGTGAATGTCGCGTCATCGATAACGCGCTATTTGCGTAATTGCACGGTGGTTGCATCGATAAGAAGCACGAGACGACTCGCTAAAAAAACCCTTTACATTTCGCCCTTTTTCCACCCCATCTACCCATTTCGAATTTCCCCTGAACGCTTCTTTTGCCTCGATTCACCCACAGGGTCACCCATTACCTGGAAAATTTAATCTGCATTGAAAGTGCGCTGTTAAGACGGCGTATCCTCGATCCTCTTCGTGATCGATCGATCGCGGTATGATCGCTTGATTGGCGTGTATACCGAAAAAGCATTATTCTTCCCGCAAATTCTCTTCATGTGAATAATACACGATGCTTCTGGCGAAAGCATGGATCAATTAAAAATTAATTTTTCGAGCAAGCAATATTATTCTCCTTTAATCTTCAACGCGATCTCCTTCTAAATTTTTTAATAACAAAATTTTAACTTTGGAATAATAAACGAGTAGTTGTAATATATCGAGTAACGATCCACAAAAGGGTTAGATTTGCAAATTTTTTAAACGGAAAATAACAAATCGTGTTAAAGGAAATACTCGTCCTGTACAAGGATTTAATTCGTGGAAATACAATGTAACCGCCATCCGACACGAATAATTTTTATTTTTAACCGAAGATTATTTCCAAACGCGCGTAATGTAATAACGATAAAGATTTAATAGTATTCTCGAAAAATATGATCGTGAATCTAAAACTCGAGCGTAGGACGACGAGCGAAAATGAAAAGGCAACGGGACGGAATGAAATAAAATTCGAGGAGTATATTAAAATTGTTCACGGACCCATATACTCGATGCTCGACAATTAATCCAACGACAACTATCAAACTTCATCCGGTCAGATGTCCGGTGTTCCAATTAAACGTCACGGGTTTACACTTTCGATGAGGTCCACGACGAAAAGCGTTTTGATGGATGTACCCCGACGCTTTTGGAACAGGCTCCTTGCATCGTTGCACACCGCGTACACAATATTTGCCGCGCTGTCTCTCTTTCTCTCTCTCTTCCTCCGCGTTGTACAGGTTGTACCGTAAATTGTGGCCGCAACTTTGCCGAGTCGGACACGTAGAAGCGATAAAAAAAAGGCAGGCCTGCACCAGATGTGTTCCAATCCGATACCAATCAATTCCAGATATCCTGTTATTTTGGTAAGGCCATAATCGCTCCTACTGTCCGTACTTTTTCGTAATCTTGTCGCGTGATAGTATATATAGTATTGTCTGTTAACCGTTCGAATATTCGACGAATGTGGTTCATCCTTTTTCCTAATTTGAATCTTCGTCTAATAGATCAATATGATTTATTATCAATTAACTTGATATTTACTTCGATCAAGGAATTTTTTGAAATTAATTAGCGAGAACAATTAAAATTCCTTTAGAATCAAACGTATATTCGTCGAGTAATTTGTCTTAAAACTTTATTAAAATTGGGAAATTGTTATAACTCCGAGGATATCGACTTCCGATCGATGAATGAACGATGAAAACGCGAGATCTTCCCCTTTAAAACGCTTTTCGAATGATTTCGATACGACTTTTCGTTCTCGAGATATCGTGGTGCGAAGAGAAAGGTAATTTTTAATCGTTTACTATGTCTATCCTCGTCGCTCTCTCGGGTCGCACTAACTTATCCCAAACTCCAGACAAGCGACAGACAAGCGATTTCTGGCAAAATGTGTGCGAAGGAAGTAGTACACATTTCTAGGAAAAAAAATGTAGGTCAGTGAGCCGCGACTCCATTCACAATCCTCTGTATTATGAGCCTTAAGCGGTATGGAAACTTTGAGTCTCTGCAACCGATTGAGATATCGAGATGAATCAATGAACGATCTCATTTGCATCGTTTCCAAATAGATTTTTGTGGCAAAATTTTTAATTTTCTTTTCGTGCTTTTCACATGAATACTTTGTCAAATATATACAATGATCGAAGTAAAATATCCACAACGAGATATAATTAAGAAAAATTCGTATACTTGAAATTGGGATGGATATTTCGTCGCGAATCGAGCGTAAAAAAAAAAAAAAAGTTCGCAATTCTTCGTCCCAAATGACGAACGATCGGTTCCCTCCAAAAATGTTTTTTGCCCGCATAAATTCCGAGCGTGGCTGTTCATCACTCTCGGTACATTCTCTCGTTTTATGATACGCCCTGTACCCGTGTTACACGCGTCAACCGCGTCGGTTTAAAATCGTGCACGATGAAAATACACCAGATCTGTACATCGCTTTCCAAGCAAGAGAGAAAAAGAGAGAAAGAAAGAAAAAGAAAGAAAGAAAAAAAGAAAAATATTCGTGGAATAGCCAGCGCGAAGTAAAAATGTTTGTGCGTGGAAGAATCGGTGTAGATCGATGAGAGCCAGAGAGAGTGTCGCGAACATACGAAGCGGAACGACTTTCGATCCGTTCTCTCCGTTGAATTATAAAGTTTAACATTCGTGCCTTCGAGAATAAAGGCTGTTGAATTATTATCAATAATTTGACCCACCATTCGAAGCGAAAATTTCAAAGAATCGTGTATTCTTCACCGATTCTCCTTCAACTTTAGACTTGAAAAGTGCCGTCTGTTTAATCATCTCGCACAAGTTTCGTTGTGTAGATCTTGCACAAGTGGTCAGCAAACTAGATAGAGAATTCATCGCGTGGAAAACTTCACATATCGTGTGAAGTTTGAGGGACTTTGTTGGTGGGACGTTTATGTGGCTTCTTCTCCGTTCTGTTGAAATTGTGAAGCGAAAGGGTTGTTTTTTTCCGAGGGTAGGAATCGTGCGACGCGATACGATGAAATCCTTCTTTTTTTTTTTTCTGAAATTCTTCCGTCAACAAATCTTCAAAAAAGCGATGCAATTTTTTTTTTTATGGAAGAAATACACGTTCGTATATAAATGAACGCGAATCTAAATTCCAAAACAGGTATCTCCCCGCTTGGCCGTAAATACCAATATACGCGTGGTATCCATAAATAAATTTCCATAGAACAGCGTTACTCCTAAATCACGATTTCATCTGCATCGAATGTACAATCCACAGAGAGGAACAAGAAGAAGCTTTGGAATCCGTTTAAGGGGAACAATGTTTTACCTTGTACGAACGCCGATTTCTATTAAACTTTCACCACCCTTTCGCGGAGAAGGGATCATGACGGACGAACGTTTCTTAAAAATCGAATCGCGTAGGCAACCGATTTATTCTCATTCTCGGTGTCCGACGTCGCGCGTCAACCACCCTCCTCCCTTCCCCCTCTAGACACACGAGAACGCGGCATAAATCACTTTTGGCCAAAACGTTGGCCGCAATTCACGTCATCGCGATGACGGAACACCGCGTGCAAGCCTTCCCTTTCACCCAAGATTTTTCTCCCAGCAGACAGACTGTTGTAGCACAGACTTTTTATTCATCGGCGAGAGAAAATCCGAGGGAAATATCGCGCAAATTCTTGAAATTTTCCATCTCCCCTCCCTCCCATTCCTGGATGTTGTCCGCATCTTGACGTGGGGATAGGTTCCATTCCCGTTATTTAATAATATCCGTTTCATAACAGGAATCGCGAAAAATACTTTAATACCACGTCTTAAACGAAATTTGAATCGATAACGCGTCGATGTAACTCGCATCGATCTGTTGTATTTTATTACAACGTTCACCCTCCTGATACCTTTCTATGTTATAAAGTTAGGATTTTTTTTTTCTCCTTCGAATCCATAGTTAGTTACAGTGTCTATTTGAGGTTTCGTATATATTCCATCGCAATTCTGCACAGTTTTGATTAGTTTTGTAACGCGTCAATCGGTATTTTTTTTTTTCGTATATTTTTTGTTCCCCTATCGAACGCTGGGCAAATTGGAAAGTTGGGGAAAATATTTTGATCTGAGAGAATCGTTGTCCCGTAAATTCAGATTTATTTATTATATCGAATTTAAATCGTTAAATTGTTGGGAAGCGTAAGAATTTTAACTTAATTATGCGGAATATCGGAGGATTTTGGCATATCAGATGTTCCTCTTCAAATTGTTGAATGACGTTTTTCCATAAAATATAAGTTCGACGTGTTTGTATCATTCTGAATATTTCTATTAACAAGAGTACTGTGTTTTGTTACAGGACCTGCAATCGGAAATCGAGACGCACCGAGACGTGTACACGTCGTTGAACGGCACAGGCAGGAAGCTGTTGAGCTCTTTGGCGAGCCAAGATGACGCGGTTATGCTGCAACGACGACTGGACGAGATGAACCAGCGATGGCATCACTTGAAAGCGAAAAGTATGGCGATAAGGTAGGTTCTTCCTCCTCTTCTTCTTCCTCCATTCTTTTCCTCTATCCGTTCTATCCATTTTTCAATCCAATTAAAGTTCGCAACGAGAACGATGTGTCAGGTTGGAATAGCCAAGTAACCAGGTGTTCTTCTTTTCGAGACAGACGTTCCATTTTGGCTGTGGTCTAGCGAAAAAGAAGTAGAGTTTTAGAGAATCCAAGAAACGAACGAAAGAACGAATTATACGCGGGGATGGAAGTTGAATCGCGACGGTCAAGGGTTGAGTTATTGTAGTGGATGAGGGAATGGAAAGTGAAAGAGAAAAAAAAATAAATAAATAGAAAAAATTGTGGACAAGAAAAGATTTAAAGAAAATAAAAAAATATATATATACTGTAAAACAGAAAATGAATGAATGAATCGTAAGTGGTAAGAGAGAGAATGGTATGTAACAAACGGAGAATGATGTGAGAGAAGAGGATGAAAAATGCGCGAAAAAAGGAAAAGAAATATAATAAGTTGGAAGGCGGAAATTGAAGATGGATGAAATATGGAAAAAAAGAAAAGGACGATTTTGATTTTAAGATATATAATTCCAACGAACGACTTCCGGTTATTAGACTCGTGAATTGTATGGACTTCGTAATTTTCTTTAATAGGATCAACGTTAGTTTGTTACAAATTTTTTTCCTTTAATAACTCGAAGTAAATTCAAAGGAGGTTCGCGTACTAAATTAATACGAGCATTTGTCTTTTTTATCCAATTATTTCGTTATTTTTATCCCTCCTTTTCTTCTTTCTTTCTCGTTCTCATAGATGCCACTTTACTTCCGAAAATTTGATTTCAAATTCCATTTCGCGCATTTATCGATCCATTAATTCACCGCATATTAATCGAAAAACGTATTAAACCAATGTCAAATCGTTTTCGAGAGCAACAACGAGAGTTCGAGATCGTTTCACGGAAGATCGTCGGGGTTACGGGAAAACGTTACAATGACGACTTCGAAACGCGTATTCGAAATTTCCAACATGCGTTTCCAGTTTCACGCGGTGCAACAATGCAAAAGATAACCATTGAAAATACCATCGACGAAATCCTCGCGAATGCCTTAATATCTTTCAATTTCTTTTTTTTTTTTTTTTGCCT